AGGTGGCCCACTTGGCTGTCTCCAGCAGGTGAACTCATCTCTGGGGCACGGCAGCCCTTAGGACCTCACCCTATTGTGCACCTGGGCACTGCGTGGCGTGTGGGAGAACCCAGACCCGGGACCCTCTTTCAGGCTGGGTTCCAGGCCTGGCTGGAGCAGTGAGGAGCCATGGTAACTGGGAAGCTTGGAGCCTGAAGCCCAGTGCCCTGGGTGTCCCCTCGGCCACCTCACACTGCCATCATGGCACAGGGGTGGGGGCATGGCCCTGGCTGGGTGGCATTCCCACACTCCTGGTGCCAGGCTGGTGTCAGGACAGGCACAGCTCCCTCTATCCCCGTTTCCTTCTCTAGTCTTGGCCTGGTGCGAGGGGCGCATCCCATTCCTGGGACCCAGGCACTGCTGGCTGCCAGGCTGTGCTGCAGGTCCCTTGGCCAGTCCGGAACTGTGGCTGGGATCAGGCAGCTCCCTGGCCCAGGAGTGGTAGGCAGTGACCTTGAAGGTCATATCCCCCAACAGCCTGCCCCTCCAGGTTGCGGGCCCTGTGGCCTGTGGGTTACAGGTAAGACACACAGGGCAGACAGGACCTGATCCCATGCTCAATCAGAAGGGCTCCCTGTGCCACAGGAGGATAGCCTGGTCCTTTGGGCACTGGCTGCCAAGCCTCTTGAGAGAGACTGTACTCTGACATCTGGCAGTTTCTCTGGTTCTCCTTCTCAAGAGCAAAGAGCTCTTCATTTCTTTTCTCTTTTCTTTTTTTTTTTTTTTTTTTTTTTTTTTTTTTTGGTACAGGGGATCAAACTCATGACCTCATGCTTGCCAAGCAGGCGCTTATACCGCTAAGCTAAATCCCCAGCCCAAAGAGGGCAGCTGTGGCTCAGCATCAAGGCCTCTCCTCTCTCACCCTAGAGAGTGGCTGTCACCTCCACCTCAGCCAGACTCAGCCATAGTGTGCTAGACAGTGGCCGCATTAGCGGCTGCCAGACATCACAATGAGCAGGTATTCACTACTGCCTGTCCTTAGGGAGAGGGTCAGGCAGCCACCCAGGACCTGTGTGGCAGGTCCTCAGGACACAAGGACTCTGGCCTCTCACACTCCTGGGAGGCGTGGACAGGGCAGCACCTGCTGAGCAACAAGCTGTGAACCAGCCATTCCAAGGGCCTTGCAGTCCTGCCCACGGGAAGGAGACACAGGTGTCCACAGGCCCAGCGGGCAGGCTCTGCCCTTGTGTGGGTTTTGTGTTAAAGGCATGAGAGCTGGAGACAGCATGAAGACCTTTTCTCCTTTCACTTCCTTGCTTCCCAGATCTTCTGCAGTTCTGAGGCAGAAGCAGAAGCAGCTCTGTGGTCTGGCTCCGGCCCTTCCTTTTTGTCCCTGTGGCTCGTTGGACAGGGTGGTCTGCTGCCATATATCCAGGTGCCCTCCACGGATGGGGACTGGTGAATCTGTTCTCGTGGCCACCACAGCCCTTTGTCTGGGGAGGACAAGCCCCTGCCTTTATGGGGTAATTAGTGCAGACAATGACCGCTGCCCCCATGGCCTTGGGCCCAGCGGAGCAGAAGGGAATCTCAAAAGTCACGGGAGGGAGGCGCGGGTGGTGGCTGAATAGCCACAGTTACCTTCTGAATAGATTAAATTTTAAAACCTCCATGGCGGCGTGGGGGGGGGGAGTCAGAATGACAATGAGGTTTTGTGTCCCTGCAGCTCTGGAAGGAAACTTGGAGGGGGTTTGCTGCCCTAGAGGACCCACAGGCTAGACCGCTGGACCTGCTGGACCTGGGTCCCCATGGGCTGTAGGCACAGCCAGGCCTGGAGGCAGCCCAGGTGCTGGGGAGCCCATCCAAGCTTAGCCCATGCCCTTGACCTCAGCCTGGTCCCCAGCCTCTGCCAGCCCTCCAGGCTGTCCCAAAGTCCTGTCAGCCCTGACTTCCTGGCCAAACCCCTGACTCCAACCCGTTCACCAGCTGGGATGGTGCTCCCACCGCAGGGAGCCTGGTGCGCCTCCAGGGAGCCTGGCTCTCAGGTCCTGCAGGGCAGCCCCAAGATGGATGCCTGTGTGCTCAGGGTCCTTGCCCAGAGCTCCCCTAGTCTGGCAGAGCCAATGTCAGTATCTTCTAGTTGTGGGGTACGAATATGAGCACACACGTGGCTCAGGTCTACTACTTCCTTCAGGAGGGCAGGTTCAAGGAAATGAGTGGCCATGCTGCCCAGCTGTTGGGAGACTGACTACTCCTTCAAGCCCCACATGCAAAGTCTGGGATAGGAAACCACCACTGGCTGCAGAGGTCCTGGGTCTGATGGGGCCCAGGAACCAGCTCAGCCTCCCACTGGGCCTGAGCTGCAGGACCCCTCACTGCCTGACCAAGGCAGATGCCAGGCTCCGTGCCCCTGCCATGCCCTCTCCCGGTGCCGTGTGCAGGGTCCCTTCCACCTGAAGATGCCTCCAAGCACCCAGCTTTGCTCCCTCCTGGCCTTTGGTGCAGCACAGCATGGGGTGGAGCTGCTTCCCAACCCAGACCCTTCCACCTTGCCCTCGAAAACATGGCTGGCTCCCATGTAAGCCCAGAGAGGAGAGCTGGGCTCTGAAGTCCTGGATAGGGCATCCTGGCCTGGACCAGAGCACCCTGCAACAGGTCTACATGAGGCCGTGGCGGGCAGTGGGGTCAGCAGTGGGAGCCGCAGCATGCAGGGCACAGGCTGTCCTGAGAGGGACAGTGTGCAGGGGGCCACTGGCTCTGTTCTTGGGACTCCTGTGTGGGGCCTGGCCTCCCTAGCCTGGCCTGGCCTGGGGGAGCACCCCAGGGGTCTGCCCCCATCATTGTCTGTCTCATCCCCAGCCTCCTCTGTCTGCCAGCCAAGATGAAGAGGCCAATGTGGCTGTGCCCAGAAACAATGTGGGCAGAGGCCTCCCTCGCGTGGCCGGGCTCGGGCGGGGAACGCAGGCAGCGTGGATGCAGAAGGCAGGCTAGTGTTTCAGGCTTCTTCTGTTACGCTCAGCCTTTCAAAGAGTGTCTGGGCCACTGAATACGCCTCCCTCCGCTCTGAGCCGGCATCCCCACACAAAGGGGGCTCTTGTCCCTCACCGGCCCCTTCTGCGAAGAAAAGCCATTGTCCCCAGCGGGGCCGCCCGGCAGGCGGTACACGCTCCACTGCCCATCGCCGCGCCCGGCGAAAGGGGCTGCATTCAGGCCTGTCCGCTCGGATTAGCAGGCGCTCACGACTCAATGTGCCTCGATATTTCATGTCCAGCGCAGCGGCTGGCCCCGGGCGGGATGAATGCCTGCTTTTGTCCGCTGAGTTATTTTATTTACATTTTTTAAACAGCTTATCAAGGTAAAAAGATAGCTTTGCTTTAAGCAGGGGAGGCCCCCTTGGCTCCAGGCCCACATGGAGGTGGAGGGCTGGGCTGGCACTGGGGTCTTTGGCTGGCCCGGGCACCTGCCCTGTCCTCTGGCCCCGGAGAATAGGGACCTCGGGCTGAGGTCCTACCTGAGAGTTTCCTGTTTTCCCAAAAGGCATAGTTGCAGGGCCTGCCTGGCAGCAGGCTCCTGAGACCCGAAGGACTGCCCTGCCCTCCTAGGTGTCATCTCCTGCCCTCTCGAGTGGCAGCAGTCCTGGGGGCAGGGAGCCCCATTCACCTGCCCCTGTTGTCAGCCCGTTCTTGTTCTGTCCCACCTTCCGATGGGCCACTGCCTGGGCCCTCTGAGAATCTGCCTACAGGCAGACACTGCCCACAGAGTCCAGTGTCTCCCACAGCCACCACTACAGGCTGCGCTGGGCCCCAGAGCTGTGGCAGAGCTGGTCCTGCACCACTCCTACCCTCCAGTTACCAGCGTGGCTCCTGGCTGTGGCTGGGTGGACCTGGGCAGGCTCCTCCCTTGTTCAGGCCCTGCCCAGCCCTGGGCTACAGAACTTCCCAGGGCTGTAGAACCCAGTGGAGAGAGGAGGGTTTGGCGCTGGCCTGCTGGCCACGCCCTACAGCCACCACCAGGGCCACCTGGCCGCCAGGGGGCACCCTCGGTGCACAGAAAGCTCCTGCCCAGATAGTGGACATTTGGTGGTCTATGTCCAGCATACTGGGGACCTGAACCTGTGAACATGTCCCTGGACAGTGAGCTGCACACCTGAGGGACCCAGCCTGCACCCCTCACTGCCCCCAAGTCGGAGAGGTCTTTGAGTGGGAGGGCATCAAGGCCTGGGTGCTTGGGATCATTGCTGAGAGCTGATGAAGGCTGGGGGTGACCTCACTTCTCTCTGCCCACTCCGGCCATCTTGCTGGGAGCCCAGCTCCCGGGTTTGAGGCGCTGCCCCTCCCCCAGTGCAGTGGAGGCTGGACTAGTGAAGCTAACAGCTGCTGCCTACAAGGGGTGTGAGGCCCAGGATGGAAGTGCCTCCTTGGCTCCTGGGATTTCTGATCCAAAGAGGCCAAGAGTCCTCACATGAGGGTGGGGCAGGCCTCACCTGGGCGCCCCCCACAGCCCTGCACCCCACACTATGGCATCGCGCCTTCTCCCACGCCCTGTACCCCTCGGGGCCTGGCAGAGGCTGAGACTGCTGGCCTCCGGCCAGACTGCAGAACCACAGGGTCAGCACTGCACAGGCAGAGGCCCCCAGCCCTGTGCTCCCAGCCCTGCTCCCCCATGTGCGTCCCCGGGCTGGACACTGAGCAGAGCCTTTCCCAGGCCGCTATTTTGGTCTCTGAGCAACCGGGTGGGGCGCCGAGCTGCTCCTGGGCTGCTCCGTTATTTTTGCTCATAATGGGAACTCGATGTATGGAAATTATTAATAGCAGTGTGAGCCTGTGGTACGTGCGGGTGGTCAGGGCCCAGCATACTCTGCCCAGAAGTGGGAAGGCCCAGCAGCCAGGATGCACGTGGGGCTGGGGCACGGCCTGCAGCTCCCTGGCCCGTTGAGGCTGCGTCACAGTTTGGGGTCCCTCTGCTCATGCGCCCACTTGCAGTCACTGTCCTGCCTCTCGGATGGCATTAAGAAGAGCCTTCCTGTGAAGGCTGCTCGGCCTTCCCTGCAGCCCAGTGCCACAGTGTGGGCCCCTGCCCCTGCCCCTGCCCCTGATTAGTCTTGCCCCTCCCTGTGGCTGGGAGACAGAGGAGGTCCAGGCTGGGCTGTGCCCACAGCGGCCATGGCAAAGCACAGGGTGGGAGACTGTGGTGCTGGGCCCCTCTCTGCCTTAATCCGCCCTCTTTGTGTCGCCAGGCAGTCATGCTGGGCACGAAGCTGAAGCTGCAGCCAGAAATGGATGTTGAAAAGGTAAATGTCTTTCTCATGTAAATCGTTTAGGTTGAACTTGGATAAAGCCCAGGTCTCCAGACACAGTTTGGTGGGGGGAGAGTGCAGGGGCTGCCAGCGGTCAGCGTGGGTGCAAAGATCCTTGGAGTACCTCACCCAGCATGGGCATCCCTTGGCTTTGCCAGGCTCCAAGTCCCCAGGGTGTCCATTGGCTGCTTGGATCTGGCCCTGCTCCAGGAGGGCACCAGCAGGGCTGTGTCCAGGGTGGTGGCAGACTGAAGCCCTCACCCAGCACACTGTGCACCCCCCAGTAGGGGGTGCCCCATCCAGTTTGGACCCTGAGTAGCCTGCTCTGTGGGCTGGTACAAAGACTCAGCAGCAAGTCCCAGTGCCATAGCCAGGGCTCCCTTGGGGCCTACTGGGGTTTCAGTGCTCTCAGTCCCTGCGCTACACCCCTGGAGGGGTCCCCAGGGCCACCGCTGGACTGCTTCAGCCCCATGTCTGCACCACCCAGTAAGTACCACGGGTGATAGCTAAGTCTCTTGGGGCTTCAGCCCTTTGTCAGGAGCACCAGGGATGGGCCTGAGAGCAGGTGAGCTCAGCATGCTGGGTATTCCACACTCCTGCCGCCTTTCCTGGGAGCCCTGAGCTGCCTGCAGGCTCCACAGGATCCACATCCTATGGGGAGTGTGGTCCTGGCTGGGGCCTGAGTGGTGCTCCCTTGTACCCCACTGCTGCTCCAGGACTGGCTGAGCCTCATGAAATGCTATGAGACTGACCTGCAGAGACAGCTGCTGACCTTCATGGACTCCTGGTACCAGCCCAGCTTTGACCTCAGGGACATCGCCAGGTGAACCCCCTGGGACCCAGCAGAGGGTGCTGGATGGACTCCTGAGTTCAGGGTTAGGGCTAGGGTGGCAGCTTTGGAGTGATATGGTGGGCATGTGTGGTCTGCAAAGGTGCAGGAGCTGCCCTTGGTGAGTAGGCAGCAGAGCAGGACACCACATGCATCCACACCACCTGGGTCTTAGTTTGAGTAGGAGGTGGAAGGTCAGTCCTCCCTGAAGTCCTCCTCTCTGTGCCTTGCTTCCTTGTCCTTGGAATGGGACTAATTCTCCTTTCACAAGAGTGGCTGTGACTTCCCATGGTATGGAGCAGGCAGAGTGGAGTGGTGAGGGGCAGCTGGCTGTCATCATTCTCATGACATTAAACACACAAATGAAGGGTGGAGGGCCAATGTGTGATGAGCTGGGAGGTTGGTACCGCCAGTCTCAGTGTGAAGAGGGCAGGCCCTACGTGTCAGGGTTAAGTGCAGAACCTGCAAAATTAATGATGTCACTGCTGGTCTCTGAAAGGACCTAGACACAGTGACATCCATAGCGATGAGCACGTCCTGCAGTGAGATCTTTGTTTTTCTTTTTTGTTTGTTGTCTGTTTTTTGAGATAGGATCTGGCTATGCAAGTCCAGGCTGGCCTTGCACTCACTGTGGAGTCCAGGCTGGCCTCGAACTTGCAGTAATCCTCTTGCCTCAAGATATTGGTTTCCAAAGACCATTTGGTTCAGAAGGATACACGGACTCTGTGGTGAATACACTGATCATGAAGACAAGGCCAGGGAGCACAGGACCTGGGAATCTTAACACTACAAACTGGAACAATGCTTGGGGACGTGGAACGGTCCTCACAGTCTGTCCTAGCTAATGAATGGAAAAGAGGGTAATAAAGTAAAAAATCATCATTTTGCAGCTACCAAGGAAGTAATTGATTCAAGCAAAGATCATCTGGGGTTCCTGAGGAAGACAAAAAACCCGAATCACAACACTGGACAGAAAGGAGCCATTGGTACAGAGCTGCAGACCCTGATGTGGAGGGGACGCAACATAGACCCTGACGTGGCTGGGCTGCTTAGGCATCACAAACCCAGTTCTTGGAAGACGCCCCTTGCTTAAACAGATGCTAAAAACAGAGTGACATTAAATATTTCTACATCTGTAAAGTAAACTGAATCCACAGGTTGAAACTTTGCCCCCACAAAGAAAGCAGTCCACCCATTGCTGCCCTGGTGAATTCTTTCAAACACCTATGGAAGAATCAACCAACCTCACATAAACTCCTAGAGAAGACAGGAGATGGGACATGTAAAAATGCACTTTATTCAGCCAACTTAAAGGCAGCTATGAAAATATGAGCATTAGAAGGGAAAATTAAAGTCCAATACACATCACGAACATAGATATAGAAGTGCTAACCAAATATTAGCAATCGACCAACCAGCATCTGAAAGAGTTCCTCAAAATAATGAGAAAACAAACCTAGACTTGTAGAAAATATTTGCAAAAGGCATACCTGAGAAAGCAAATTACTCAAAATAGACAAAGATCTCTTAAAAAACAGTAAGAAAATGGAACGACCCAAATTTAATGAGTGGGAGTCACTTCATCAGAGAAAATAAGATTCAGAGAAATGCAAATTCGAACAACAGGAAGATGCCGCCACATTCCTGTTGCATGGCCCAAATCCACAGGACCGAAACATCAGGTCCTGCGAGGAGGTGAGTGTGTAGCTCTCACTCCCTGCCATGGGAATGGAAAACGGTACGCCGCTTGCTCCCCCAAAAACAGTACGCACTCTTGCCATGGGGTCCAGCAGTCATGCTTCTTGGCATTTATTTACTTGACAGAGCTGGAACCTTATGTCCACACAGATACTTGTGCTCAGATGTCTGTGACACCTTTATTTACATGATTTAATCAAAACCTGAAACCAACCACGATGTCCTTCAGAAGGGGAAGGGATGGATGAACTGGAGATTTAGCTCAGTGATATAAGCGCCTGCCTTGCAAGTGTGCGGTCATGAGTTCGATCCCTGGTCCTGGTAAAAATGAAAAAGACAAAAAAAAAAAAAAAAGACAATGGAATATTATTAAGAACTAAAAAGAAGTGAGGTTTAGGCAGGTATGGAGTGCATGTCTGTAGTCCCAAATGCTAAGCCAAAAGGATGGCTATTGAGACCCCATCTCAAAAAATAAGGAAGCCAGGAGCAGTGGCTCATGCCTGTTATCTCAGCACTCAGATAGCTGAGGCAGGAGGATCACTTCGAGTTCAAGACCAACCTGGGCTACAAAGTGAGCTCAAGGCCAACCTGAACTGCACAGCGAGATCCTGTCTCAAGAAAGAAAAAAGAAGAAAAAGGAGAAGGAAATAAGTTACTAAGACTTGAAAAGCATAGAAGAAACAAAAACATATAGCTAAGTGAAAAAACTGATCCAAAAAAGGCTGCATGTTACATGATTCCAGCTATGTGACCTTCTGGAAAAGGCAGACTTAAAGGAGGAGGGGTTTAATTTGATCTATGGTTTTAGAGGATTCAGTCCGTGATTAGCTGCTCTAAGTAAGAGCATCATGGCAGGAGAGCATGGAGGAGGAAAGCTGCTCATCTCATGGCAGCCAGGAAGCAGAGCAGGGAATCGCACCGGACAGGAAGGGCCAGGGCCAGATATGGCACCCAAGGTCACACTGTATGCCCCACGCCCACGCCCCACCCAGGTACTCCCAGAAGTGTGCATTACTAACCCCTGGGCAGCTCCCAAGCCTGTCAAGTAGTCAGTGAAGCTTAACCACACCAGGGAACAGGTCCAACCCATAGTATACACAACCCTGAGAGAGGACCGTTGTGTGGACTACAGACTATGGGACAGCAGTGCATCCATGTGGCTCACTGGCTGTGACAGATGCACGCTCTCAGGGTGCTGGGAGCTGTGAGTGCCAGAGGCGAGGTAAATGGAAACTCCACACAGTCTGCTGTTTTCCTGTGAGCCTATAACTACTCTTAAAAATATCAAGTTTGTTCGTTAAGAAAGTTAACATTATGGTCAAGTTCAGGAATTCCACAGATTTAACATTCAAAGATCATTATAACATCGCTTTAACAGAGGAAACAGCAAAAGTTGCACAGTCATTCCAGTGTATAAAACAGATTTGTAAAACTCAAACCTCATAAAACTCAGGTGTGGTGGCTCACGCCTATAATCTCAGCATTTGGGAGGATGAGGCAGGAGGATCACTGGGAGTTTGAGACCAGGCTGGGCTGCATAATGAGTTTAAGACCAGTCTGGGCTCCTTAGTGAATTCAAAGTTGGCCTGAATTACTGCATACTGAGGCACTGTCTCAAAAACAAAAACAAAACAAATCTTCAAACTTTATTATGATTAAAAAGTATCAGAAAACTACAAAGGGCATCTTCCTTAATCTAATCAAAAGTGTTACTTTAAAAAACACATACAACAGGAAATATTATTTTTTAGTTTTATTTTGAAATATAATAAATACATTCCAAACCACATATTTGTTTTTGTTTTGTTTTGTTTAGGTCCCAGGGATTGAACTCACAACTTCATGCTTGCAGGCAGGTGCTTATGCTGCTGAGCTAAACCCCTAGCCCTTCAAAACTGCACATTTGCAGTGTAGCATTTTTACTGCCTCCAGCATGTGTATCCATCAGGGCCATTACCATGTCCCTCGGGTCCTGAGACCTCCAACCCAGCTCACCTGTCACTGTGTGCCTCTGTCCCCATGCCCGGTCTGTACTGCTAGACCTTTTTCATACCCTAACACACCATGTAGGTGGAATGGTGAGGGATGGCCTCTTCTCCCAAGATTGCTGTGTGTCTGCTTCCCACACCACCATGGAGGTGACAGTTTGCTCATCATCCTTCACCAGCTGATATGCAGTGGGTGACTTCCACATCGGAGCCATCACTCAGGAGGCTGCAGGCCTCAGGTACAGGCTGCAGGCTGCCCAGGAGGCAGAGTTGGAGTCCTGTGGTTAATGTATGTTCATTTATTTATTTATTTCATTTTAGGGGGCGATACCAGGAACTGAACTCACGACCTTGCATTTTCCAGGCAGGCACTTATGCCACTGAGCTATATTCCTGGCCCTTTAGTGTATGATTAGTTTTTTAAAGAAATCATCAGCTCTTTTGAATTTCACTTGTGCCACCTCCGTGTGAGACTTGGTGTGTCATCTCAGCTGCTCCCCCAGGGATGTGGTGATATCACATTCTGGTTTTGATTTGCATTTTCCTAATGATGAATGATACTGAGCCTATTTTTCTTTTCCTTGTTTGGTAGCTATTCAATCTTTGCACATTTTAGATGCATTTGTTTTCATATTATGGAGTTCTGAGATTTTTTTTTTTGTCTTTTTCATTTTTATCGGTACTGGGGATTGAACTCATGACCGCCTGCTTGCAAGGCAAGTACTTATGCCACTGAACTAAATCCCCAGCCCCGAGTTCTGAGATTTTTAAAAATATATTTTGGCCAGGCCTGGTGGTACACACCTATAATTTCAGCACTCAGGAGACTGCAGCAGCAGGATACTGAGTCTGAGGCCAGCCTGGGCACCGTTGCAAGACTCTGTCTCAAAACAAAACATATACATGCATACACATGCACGTGTGTGCACACACATATTCTTAGTCTTATGTATTATTTGGCTTTCTTTTCATTCTCTTAACAGTGTCTTTCAACAAGTAAAACTTCTTAATTAGTCAAACTCTGATTTATTAATTTTTTAAAATGATGTGGATCATCTTTAAGTGTTGTAGCTGAAAAATCTTTGCCAAAGTCATGAGCACAAACATCTCCTGTTCTGACTTCTAGAAGTTTTATGATTTTATGATTTTCGTTTAGGTCAATAGTCTGTTTCTAGATGGCATTCATATAAGGTTTGAGGTAAGGATCCATGCTCTTTACTGGCTAACATGTGGTCTTATTGGAACTATCTGTTTATCTTTCCACAGAAGTACGTTTGTACCTTTGTAAACATCAGTTTTCTGTGCAGATGGGTCCAGCTTGGACAGCCCTGCCTGCTCTGTCCATCTGTCTGCCTTCTGGATCCTTGTAACCTCACAGGAAGTACCCAACTCAGGTGCTGTTGACTCTCCAGCCCTGTTCTTTCTCTTTCTCTTTCTTTCTTCCTTTTTTCTTCTTTCTTTCTTCCTTTCTCTCTCTCTCTCTTTCTTTCCTTTTGGTTATTTTCAACTCTTTACATTTTGATGTGAATATTCAAATCAAATTGCTAATTTTGACCTTAAAAAAGTCTATTGGGATTGAAATTAAAGATGACTGTGGGGAGAATTTAGTGTTCTAAACCATAAATGGGGCCTCTCTCTCCATGTACTGAGGTCTTCAATTGCCCTCAGCAATTTTTTGTACTGAGAATTGAACTCAGGACATGGTACTTGCCAGACTGATGCTTGGGCCACTGAGCTGTATCTCTGGCCAACCCTCAACAATTTTTAATAAGGCTTCTACATTGCTTGTCAAGCTTATCCGTAAATGTTTTATATCTGATGTTGTAAGTGATGTTTTCAGATTTCAGTTTCTAGCCATTTGGTGCTAGTGTATAAAAATGCAGTTGATTTCTGTATCAATCCTTGTATCCCATAACTTTGCTAAACTCTCCAGGTTTTGTAGCTATTTTGAATATTCCATAGGATTTTCAATGAAAATTATCATGTTATCTGCAAGTAAAGGCAGTTTTGTTTTTTCGGTCCTTCTAGAACATTCATTACAACATAGACTGTAAGTGGGCAGAGTAGGCATCGGCGTCTGGTCTCCGGTCTTGGGATCAAGCTTCCATCTTTCATTGTTGAACTCTGTGTTACCTGTAGTTTGGGAAGAGGACCTTCACCAAATTATAGAAGTTCTCTTCTTGGATACTTTGTTGAAAAAAAAATGTTTTTGTATGGGGGATGGAACTGGCAGCCTCATGCTTGCCAGGCAGGCGCTTATGCTGCTGAGCTACATCTCTGGCAATTCTTCGTTGAAAATTTTGATCAGGAGTGGATGTTAGATTTTAAAAGTGTTTTTTCTGCAGCTATTAAGATCTTACAGTTTTCCATTTCAGACTATTGATGTGGTGAATTATACTACCTAAGGTTTGTAACACTGAATTGGCCATCACTCCTGAGATGTGTATCGCGAGTTCTGTCATACTCTCTTCTTATAATGCTTATTTGGGAGGGGGCCCTTGAGTACTGCTTGCTTCCTAAAATGAGTTTGGGAATACTCCTTGCTTCTCAGTTTTCTGAAAGAGATTGCCTCGAACTGGTGTTGCTGTAATTACAGACCCGATTTCCTGACCACGCAGCTATCCAGCTTACTGATTTCTTTCTGAGCCTTGGTGGTTCGTGTTTTGCTGAGCAGGGCCGTTCACTCTAAGTGTCATGCTTCCTGGCTTGAAGTTGCTCTTGATAGTCCCACTTTTCCCTCCTGCACTCTGCTGTCCCCTCTCTTACCGCGCCCCCCCCCACCCTGTTTCACTGATCTGTGACTCTCCTGGTGCGATGACCCCTGATTTATGCAACTCTGTAGCCTGGGTTTCTCCAAGTTGTGGCCCTGTCCTCCCTCTCATGTGCTGCAGGCCTCGCCCAGGTGACAGGCACTGAGGCTCTGACCACCAGCTTCCCCGGACTCCAAGCTTTGTCGCGTGTGCTGGTGCCCAGGGAGCACAGCCTTCTTGCACTTCCTTCTGGCTTTGCCTGCAGAGACCAGGGCAGCATTGAATTGGAGCAGCCATGTGCTGTATTTTCAGCGAGGACCTCCTTGGTGTCACAGTCAGCGCCCTGAAAATCATGATGGTTTTAAAACTTGAGCTTTGGGAAAATAGCACTGGCATCTCATGAGGCTTGGTAACGCTGCCCTCTTATCTCCGGTAGTCCCTTCCTCAGCACTGGGCAGCTCCTCATGCCCCCATGCTGGCCAAGGCCCAGGTGGATTTCCAGGCCCTCACTGGCCTGGCATTTGGGGCTCGGTCTTGCACACCACATGCTGGAGTACAGGGCCTCTATGCTCTTTCCTGTCTTGGGGATCACTGACTCACACCATGCTGCCCCTGGTCTGGAGACAGAGGCATCTTCAGTTCTGTTTCTGAGGTGTTTGGGAGGGTGAGCTTGGGCCTGCTACTCTAGAGCACTGCATTGTATTAGCATTGTCTGCACATGTAATGGTGCGCAATGACAGGACTCACCTAACATCCCACATGCACACATGCCATCCTTTGATGGTGTCCACCAAGGGAAGCACCGTATTGAGTGGTGAAATTGAAGCTCTCTCCCTCTGACTTGGAGGAAGAGAACAGGGCAGCTGTTGCCTCCGATTCAACAGTGCACAGGGTCCCAGTCTGGCAAGGCAGGTTGGAGAAATGCAGGTCATGTGGGTTGGGCATGGAGAGCAATTGTCACCTTTTCCAGTTAGATTTGTGTGTGGGAAAAACCTACAGAAAACTTCAAATTAGCAAGTAAACTCAGCAAGAGCTCGAGTTGTGAGGTAAGTTTATATGAACCAGTTGTATTTCTTGATGTTTACAACGAAGATTCCTCAATCGATATGCAAATCACTAGGTTTAATGGAAGAGACTGGCCAGTTTGCCTTAAGTCAATGACTTCTGTGCAACAAAGCACTTCAGTGAGAGCAATAAGGCCACTTCCAGACCAGGTGGCTACTGGCTGAACACCTCTCTGAGTCCATCCATGTGCAATGCACCAAAGCACTCGCACGAGACCCACAACGCAAGTATACAACAGAAGAGCCAGTCTTTCTGGGAGCAGGACTGGGGCCACATCCCCCAAGCAAACTGATGGCTACTCAGTGTCAGTCATCAGAGAGACACCCACTAAACCACCAAGGAAGGTCACCTGTTCCTGTCCAGCCAGCATGCCAGGCTGACTCAAGGGAGTTGGCTCGGACTGGACTCACACTGCTTGAGGGGAGCGAGCCTGGGGGCAACTGTTCACAAGTGGTATCTAACCCCAAGCTAGAGTCCCTGTCACTCTTGACCCACATTTGCTCAAGAGAAATGGGACTGTTGTCCACAGAACAACAGCATTCATGCAACTTCCTCCTCAGTCGCCCGAGCTGGAACAGCCACACAGCACAGCCAAGAGGGATGAGGCGGGACCCTCAGGCCCAGCACACAAAGGGAGCACGCAGCTGCGGGGATGCCACGGGAAAGGAACCAGGCTGAGGCCACTGCCGTGTGGTCCCCCTGACCCCCTACAGTGGCGCATCAGCACTGGCCACGGAAGCTGGGAGCAGGTACCTCAGCTGGGGACCTGCAGATGGCTTTTGAGAGCTGGAGTGTTCTACACTGATGTTCTCAGCAGGCAGGTTCTCAGGAGCGCAGGCACCTTGGGTTTTGTACCACAGGTCAGCCAGGCCTCAGTGAACAGTTTATAACTTCAAGTGGCAGATGAGCATGGGAACTCGTGGCCTCTC